ATGTCCTGGTTGATGAAGTGATTTTTTTTTTATCGTGGTCAAATGTACATAACCTAGAGCTTACATTTTAAACATTTTTAAGTGTACAGTTCAGTGATATTAAGTACATTCACAGTGTTGTGATAAAAATAATTTACAGTGAAGGAAGCTAAGAGCTATGTAAGAATTCACATAGAAACTTTGTGTCAGAAGCTGTGCTAGCCCCCAAAATATACATGTGTAGGAAATATTTATGTGGCTGGGTAAAATTTTTATGATTTTGTGTCTTCCTAGTGACTATAATAAGGAATAATTGGAAAATAAAGTGATACTATGTATGTATTATACATGGCTATATTTGATAGTTCACATATGCATGTGGTTACACATAGCAAAATTCATCCTTAACATTCATAGGCTTAATAGTCATGTTTCAGAGTATTTGCCAGCATCTCTAAGGTCCATTTTACATATTTCTGATTTTGTATGGTACGGATATGAGTAGGGCTGTACGGATATGAGTAGGTCTATGAGGACATAAGCCCAGCAAGCCATCCAGCACCTGCCACTCAAAGAGGCTATTTGGTTCTTTATGTGTTTCCAGATGAGTATATCTCTAACAGTAATAAAGACTTTTGGATGTTGACACCTAAAAGAGCTAGAAAAAGAACAAAGTCCAAAGCTAGTAGAAAGAGGGAACTAATAAAGATTAGAGCAGGGATAAATGAAATAGAGACCAAAAAAAAAAAAAAAGAGAAGAAAATATCAATGAAACCAACATCTGGCTCATTGAAAAGATAAACAAAATCGAAAAACCTTTAGTCAGACTCATCAAGAAAAAAAGAGAGGACTCAAAATCAGAAACGAAAGAGGAAAAAATCACAACTGACACTACAGAAAAACAAAAGATTCTAAGAGAATATTATGAAAAATTATATGCCAACAGATTAAACAACCTAGAAGACATGGATACATTTCTAGAAACATACAATCCAAAACTGAATCAGGAAGAACTAGAAAAGTTGAACAGACTGATTACTAGTAATGAGATTGAATCAGTAATCAAAAAACTTGAATTCAGCCCTTAGTGTATAGATGCTTGCTGTCTCGGTTAGAAAGACGTTACGTGCTATTGTGGCCGGTTTCATATTTCATTTCTTAGCTATGTCTATTTCTCTCCTCAGTTCTGCAGCATATACCAGGGAGCAGTGAGTAGTGACTCTGCAGGAGCGCTCTCTGTGTTGCTTCTTCCTTTTTTTTTTTTTTTTTAATATTTTATTTATTTATTTGAGAGCGAGAGAGAGCACATGAGAGGGGGGAGGGTCAGAGGGAGAAGCAGTCTCCCTGCCGAGCAGGGAGCCCAATGCAGGACTCGATCCAGGGACTCCAGGATCATGACCTGAACCGAAGGCAGTCGCCTAACCAACTGAGCCACCCAGGCGCCCTGTGTTGCTTCTTCCTATGTGAGGGTTTGAGTGCTGCCCGGCAGACTCACTTCTCCAGAGCTGCTCTGTCCAGTGCTGTAGCCACTAGCCACACACAGATAGAAAAAGTAAATGTAAACTAAACAAAATGAAATAAGATAAAAATTCAGGTCCTCCTTCACACTGATCTCATCTGAAGTGCTCAGTAGCTGCATGTGACTAGTGGTTACCATATTGGACAGCAGAGGTGTGGAACATTAGCATCATCAGAAAGTTCTCTGGGACAGTGCTGTTTTAGAGCATTTCTTTCCCTCTGGCCCAGCGGCAGGGGAGATTCCAGTGTCTTGTCTTATCTTGGGGTTGAAGCGCAACTAACTCTCGGGTGGAACTTGGCTGTCTCACTTCTCTGAGGCCTTTGGGTTGGATTACAACTGCAGGTCAGCTTCCTGCAGGACTAACCTGCTCCCTCTACAGAAGGATTTGAGGGTGGTGTAGAAAAGACTGGCCAGCCCTGGGTAAACTCCCTCACAGTGCTAGAAATGCCCTTTACTTGTTTTCTATTGCTGACATAAATTACTAGTTTAGAACAGCACAAATTTATTATCCCACAGTTCCATAAGTCAGAAGTCCAACACAGGTCTCACCAGGCTAAAATCAAGGTGTTAGCTTGGTTGTGGTCCCTTCTGGAAGCTCGAGGGGATAGTCTGTTTTCTTCCTTCTTCAGGTTTTTGATGGAATTCAGTTCTTTAAGGTTGTACATCTGAAGTCCCTATTTTTTTTTAAGATTTATTTATTTATTTATTTATTTGGCAGAGAGAGAGAGAGCACAAGCAGGGGGAGCAGCAGGCAGAGGGAGAGGGAGAAGGAGGCTCTTTGCTGATCAGGGAGCCCGACGTGGGACTCGATCCCAGAACCCTTAACGAAGGCAGACGCTTAACGACTGAGCCATCCAGGCACCCTGAAGTCCCTATTTTTTTTACTGGCTTTCAGCTCAGGGCTGTTACAGTTTCTAGACGATGCCCACATTCTTTAGCTCCTTGCTCTCTGTCTCCATACTCAAAGCCAATCAAGGCAGGTTGAATCCCTTTCACAATTCACATGTCTCTTGCATCTTCTTCCATTACATCCCTCTGACTTAGCTGGGAAACATTGTCTGCACATAAAGCCCAATAATTAGATTAGGACTACCCTGTTAATCCAGGATAATCTCTCAATCTCAGAATCCATAACTTTATTTTATTTTTTTTCTAATATTTATTTATTTGTCAGAGAGAGAGAGAGAAAGAGAGGCAGGCAGAGGGAGATGCAGACTCCCTGCTGAGCAAGGAGCCCAATTCAGGACCCAATCCTAGGACCCTGGGATCATTACCTGAGCTGAAGGCAGGCGCTTAACTGACTGAGCCACCCAGGCATCCTGGGAATCCATAACTTTTTACATCTGCAAAGTCTGGTTTGCATATAAGTAACCTATTAGGGCATAGTCATATTTGGAAGGGGTGTTACTTGGTTTGCCACTTGCCTCCAGATTAATTCTTTGCATGTTATTAAGCAAAAATAGCTTATTTGAAGAAGATAATTTCCATCTTTGTGTAAATAGTACTAGTAATTTTCTTTGGAGACTAAACATCAGGGGAAGACAGGAAGCTTCAGGAAAGAAGAGAAAATAGAGAAATGGAGAAGGTGATACCTGGAGAAAATCTTTTTTTTTTTTTCTTCAAATTTTTATTTAAACTCTGGTTAGTTAACAAATAGTGTAATATTGGTTTCAGGAGTAGAATTTAGTGATTCATCACTTATATATAACACCCAGTGCTCATAACAAGTGCCCTCCTGAATTCCCATCACCCATTTAGCCTGTCCCCCTCCCACCTCCCCTCTAGAAACCCTCAGTTTGTTCTCTGTAGTTACGAGTCTCTTATGGTTTGCCTCCCTCTCCTTTTTTCCCCCTTCCCTTATGTTCATCTGTTTTGTTTCTTAAATTCCATGTATGAGTGAAGTCATATGGTATTTGTCTTTCTCTGACTGATTTATCTCACTTAGCATAATCTACTCTAGCTCCATCCATGTCATTGCAAGATTTCATTCTTTCTGATGGATGAGTAATACTCCATTGTGTATATATGACACCTCTTCTTTATCCATTCATCAGTTGATGGACATTTGGGCTCTTTCCATAATTTGGCTATTGTTGATAATGCTGCTGTCAACATTGGGGTGCATGTACCCCTTCGAATCAGTATTTTTGTATCCTTTGGGTAAATACTTAGTAGTGCAATTGCTGGGTCATAGGGCAGTTCTATTTGAGGAATATTTTCCAGAGTGGCTGCACCAGTTTGCATTCCCACCAACAGTGTAAAAGGTTCCCCTTTCTCCACATCTTCTCTAACACCTGTTGTTTCTTGTGTTTTTGATTTTAGCCATTCTGACAGGTGTGCAGTGGTATCATGGTTTTGATTTGTATTTCCCTGATGATGGGTAATGTTGAGCATCTTTTCATGTGTCTGTTAGCCATCTGGGTGTCTTCTTTGGAAAAATGTCTATTCATGTCTTCTGCCCATTTCTTAACTGGATTATTTGTTTTTTGGATGTCGAGTTTGATAAGTTCCTTGTAGATTTTGGATACTAACCCTTTATCAGCCATGTCATTTGCAAATACCTTCTCCCTTTCCATAGATTGCCTTTTAGTTTTGTTGATTGTTTGCAGAAGCTTTTCATCGTGATGAAGTCCCAATAGTTCATTTTTGCTTTTGTTTTGCTTGCTTCCAGCAACATGTCTAGTAAGAAGTTGCTACAGCTGAGGTCAAAGAGGTCGCTACCTGTGTTCTTCTGTAGGATATTGATGGTTTCCTGTCTCACATTTAGGTCTTTTATTCTTTTTGAGTTTATTTTTGTGTATGGTGTAAGAAAGTGGTACAGTTCCATTCTTCTGCATGTATCTGTCCAGTTTTCCCACCACCATTTGTTGAAGAGACTTTTTTTTTTCCATTGGCTATTCATTCCTGCTTTGTCGAAGATTAGTTGACCATATAGTTGTGGGTGAAAATCTTTACTGCTTAAACAACATTTTATATTGCTTTCCACATGGTGAAACACACCACCTATGATAGTTCAATTTGGAGTACGTTGATAAAATATCATCAGGGTATCTCTGAATTAACCACTTACTTGTATCTCATCTTTTAAAAAGTGAGAAAACCTATACGAAAGTGGCATTATAATCATGAAGATAAATATCCGAAATTGAACAATGTTAGGTACTTACAAACTTACAATGTTAGTACCTACAAACTGTAGGTACTTAATGTAATATATTTAACAGCCCCCCCACCTATTAGGTCGCTAACTTTTGGATTTTCATGAAACATTAATAAAATCTGTTTGATTTTAATGTTTATTGCCATTCATATATTTACCATAGATGTCTGCATTCATTTCTAATTTAGTATGTAAAATATTATATGAATGAGTTTAATTTAATTAGATATTATCTATTTTGAATATTGCATGGTGATAGTCTACTTTGTAATAAACTATATAATTTTTGAGAATGAATGTAACATTTACCTTTCTCATCTTTCATTTTATTTATCTCATTAGCTACGAAATCTTTCCAGCTTGGACCTACGTCATATCACTGAACTGGATAATGAAACTGTGATGGAAATTGTCAAGAGGTGCAAAAATCTTAGCTCTCTCAATCTCTGTCTGAACTGGATCATAAATGACAGGTAACCATTGTAACGTCTTAAAAACACTTTTCCAGAGGGAAACCTGTGTTCCATTGACCAAATACTAATTATCATTATGACAAGGCATGTCAATTTTAGAAAATTTAATGTAGCCATGCCTTTTAAAATAGATATGTTTAAGATTTGAAAACCATCTAGCTGTATACTTTTCATCCATCCATTGCTCATATTTTTGACAAGGTTTTATACACTTTGATTCAAATGTTTGCCTAAACAGTGATAACAACAGTAGTCTGTCGAATTTTTCTTTGTCACCCAACCAGGTATATTGCTTATTTGTCACTTTACTATTTTTGCAACTTTGTGGTTGATTTGCTGTTCACTTGTCAAGAAAAATGCTTCTAAGAAACCATTTCAAACATGAGACGCATCAAGATCCTTTCTAAAGGATGATATTTTGTTCTTTGTATCAATATAGTTTGTTTTGGAAATGGAAGTCATATGATAGACAGTTTAACATATAGCATAAAAATGTGTAAAATGGATAGTTTTCTTCTTATAAACAGTGATGAACCCATTTTTCTTTGAAATATTGCATGAAAGAAAAAAGATGAAAGAACCCTTGAGAGTAGACTTCTTTATAATGAAAACAAGCACAGAGTAGCACTATTTCGGTACTGTCAATTAACTGAGGTGGGTTCTGAAATACAGGCATGAGACAAGATGCTTGCGCAGTGACTTTTAGGGGTAAGTGTTTTCTTTTTGAAGATAAGCCCCCCAAAATATTTGCTTTCAAAATAGAAAGTACTATTTCAGCTAAAATTAGAACCTATTTAGACTTAAAGATTTTTCATAAATAGGAGCAATGATTTATTAAGTTTGTGTCAGATAATGCTTTAAATTTAAAATACTTTCCCCCTCCTCTTTTAGTTTCCTTTTGTACTTAAGATGAAAGCTATATGGACTCCATTTTCTCCAATTATGTTTAAGTTCTAGTGACATTTTCTTAACTTACCCCACGTGACTCTTATGATTATATGATAGCCTTTGACTTGACTCTTTCTTAGTAAAATTTTTCTTGAAAAACTTTCTGATCTAGTCATATGGTCATCATTTATAAAAGGTGTTTATTGGCTTTGAGTAATAGTCATATAAAGTACATTGACAAAATCTACAGAGAATTGATAAAAGTTAAAAAAATAAAATTTTTGTCTATAGTCAACATTCTTCTACAGTTGATTAGATGACAACTTAAAATAATCTTTTAAGTGTCTTTCATAACATCTAATAAGATAAAGTGCATAAGGAAACATTATCCTATGGTGTTTTGCATTACTTTAATATTGAGATGAACTGCTTAGTAATGTATCAAATTAAAAGGAAAAAACTGTTCCTCCAACAAAATGAGTAAGAAAATGATTGCCTTTTATTCCACAATAGTTTTCTGTGTACTTGACATATGTAGAAGAATCAGTAATTAAAGAATACAGGGGTAAATAAGAAGCGGTCCATGTATGATTAGAAGGGTTTTCTTCTAAGAAGTAAACACTTTGCTTAGGTTTATATCATTTAAATAGAGATATTTAGGGATTTCTAATCTTCTAGCTCTTCAAATGCTTATTTAGTCATAAGTATTTACAAATGAGAAAGTGGGCAGCCCTCACTTTGTCTTTCCTTCCCTTTGTTAGGCGCCATGTATTCAAAGCTCTTGCTATTTCGATAATTTTTTCCTACTTAACTCTGGTGGTTATTTGGTATTTGATCCTAAATATACATACTGTAGAGATTTATTTGCAAGGAATGAAAGTGTATTTTTATGTTTTTAATGGAAAAGTTTGGATTAATTGAGAAAACATGCATTTTAATGAGGCTGAGCAGTAGAGTTTTAAAAATCAGACTCTTTTAGGTTTTAATTACACTCCTTGCACTTATCCTATGTACTGTTAATAGAAGTTTCAAACATTAAAACCCACTTTGCAGTATCATCTAAATTACTCATCTCATTGTTCTTGCCATACTCTATCACTAAGCTAAGTAATATTTGTAATTATATTGGTATAAATCTAGGACTTCCCGTCAGACTTAATTATAATTTCAGCACTTAGCTGAGATGGGTTAGTCACCTTTCATATAGAGGGCACTGGAATGCACTAATGCATTTAGCCTATCAATTAGCGTGTTTTACATTTGTTCGTTATTCTTATCCTCTAGTAAATCAGGAAGCATTTATTAACCCCCTACTAAATACGTGGTACTGTGTCTCAGACTCTAGGACACTGAGTCCCTCCTGTTCTCAAAGGTGCTCTCTTGAGGTGACATAAGACTTAATGAGTGAGAGAATAGTGAGCCTTGGAAGGATAGAGGGGAGGAAAGTAACCTTTATTGCCCAGGTAATTGATAGGCACTTTACATGTGTTCTCTTTTAATCCTTTCAACATCTTTTGTTTAGTGGAAGGTCATACTATTCCTATTAAATGCAGACCATTTGTATGACTTTTCTTTGGCTTTGCCAACACATGTGTTTTTCCATCACTGCTGCCTTAAAAACTGGGGGAGGACAAACGAGAAAAAGCAAATGGTGGTTGATGGGTCACTTTTCGATTTCATAGTTAGGATTCACACATAACTAACATTTCTATGTTAAATTCTTAGTTTTTAAAAGTAATATCATTATTCTTTCTTTCATAATAAAACTATAAGAGAAACTTTAGATGTTATTTTATACATTGCACATATGAAAGGGATCAGTGTTTAATGCTGCTGGCTTTGAGAAAGGATTCCTTACACGAAGATACACTTTGATAGTCAGATCTTTAGATATAAGACTTATCTTGGACTTTAAAAGTTCTTATCTGTAAACTTTCTTTTGAAGTTCAAAATTTTAAAATATGTAGTAATTGAAGGTCTTTAGTATTACGCTCTTGGTAGCTTTTAGCATTTTGTGGTTCTTGAAGTGATGTGTCTAAGACACGCTGTTCTTTATCTTTGTTTTTCTAAAAGCATGTTTTGTGTTTAGAGAGTTAAACAGCATGATATTTTCTTGTATTCAGAAGGATGGTCTAGTAGTCATTTGACATTTACCATTGCTTTTGAATACAAATAAAATCCAAGGGGTTTATGAAAAGAGGACACTGACTATTTCTATCAGTGACTTAAATTAAACATCTGGTTGTTATATCTCCTCTACTGTCTCTGCCTCTAAGTTTATTGAAATGTTTATTTGTCTTTGATATAAATCTTTTGTTATTTCACATCCAATTTGGTCTTCATCATTTTTGTATGTTTGGCACAGAGTTAGCCTGCTTTGGATGTAACAAGCTGATAATGTGAAAAACTGAATGGTTCTGAACATCTTTAGTGATAGACGTATAACGGCTCTTTTGTTCTTTTTTGCCAAGAAGAATTAAATGAAATCTAATAGATCTTTACAAAAGCTATTTAAAAATTTTTAATTGGCAATCAAAGAAGGAATTAATCTCCCCATTTTCAGTTTTTAACATTAGTCCTGAGAAAAGTTGGATCACATGATCTATATACCCATTATCAAGTGTATGATCCATTCATTAACTGTTGACCATGCTTGCTAATGAATCAGGATAACAATATAAGAGAAATGAAAATTTCTCTAGCATCCATCAGCTAATGTTACAAAACATAACAAATACCAGGCTGGTTGTTAAAATAGGTTATGTTGCCAACTAGTCAAACTTCCCTAGCTAGCGATTTATTCTTTGAATTTGCAGTAAAAAAAAAAAAAAAAATCGAATATTAAACTTGTTGAACATCAATAACTAAGGACAATTTTTTTAAAGAGTTAATTTTGTTGTGTGAATCCTATATGTATGTCAAGAGAGCTATTACATCAGTGGACATTCTAAAATTTGGAAAATTATAAATCTTAAACTATTGTGACCAGTTTCTTTCAAATATAAAATAGCATTTATAATATGTTGCCATTTCACTTTATATGTACTGGTGTTTGGAATAATAACTATGGGTATTTTCTCTTAAAATAAAGCTTTTTGATAAGACCAGTTGAAGTTGCAAACGTGTGGGCTACGGCTGAGTCCTGTCCATGAAGCTGTTTTGTTTGGCCTATAGAATATTTAAAAGTTGAGATAGTTGCGAACACTTTAAAAATTGGACTAGTTTGCATAAAATTCTGAAGTTGGGCTTCCTCTTGGAGAAGTTGCAGATCTAGCAACCCTGGACTCCCGTTCTTTCCAGGATGAGGAATAGGCTGTTCTCTCTGGCCATTCTCCAGTCCTTCATCATTCCTACTGGGCATGATACATTCTTTTGTATTATTTGTCTATTTCCAGTCGACAGACTGAATTCTTCTTTACCAAAATCAAGATTGTAGAGTTTTGTTTTGGAGTCTGATAAAATATATTGGAGTTCTCTTTAAATGGAGTCTGATAAAATATATTAACAGGTAATAGTTAATTGGTCTACCTACGTTAGTTCTTCATTATTTTAGACATCAGAACTTTGGCCAGTGGGTGGAAGTTACAACAAGAGACAGAATTCAGCTTAAAATGAATTAAAAACTTTATTTTCATCCACTGCCATCCAAAATGGACACCTGCACTTAGTGTTCAAACAAGAGTGTTATCCAAAAGTCTCCTGAATTACAAAGAGAGCTGCTGGTTTATAAACTTCCCTCCAACTTCAAGGCTGTGATTTAAAATTATTTATTTATTTATTTATTTAAAGATTTTTATTTATTTATTTGACAGAGAGAGAGACACAGCGAGAGAGGGAACACAAACAGGGGGAGTGGGGGAGGGAGAAGCAGGCTTCCCGCAGAGCAGGAAGCCCGATGCGGGGCTCAATCCCAGGACCCTGGGATCATGACCTGAGCAGAAGGCAGACGCTTAATGAGCCACCCAGACACCCCTAAAATTATTTATTTTAAAATGAATTTATTTCCAGTGTACAGTATTTGACTCATGATTTCTTTGTTGATAGCATTAAGAAAAATCTTAACACTATTCTTTGTCTTTTCTTCTTCTGTGTATAACCCTTTCTAGTCTTTT